TTGGGTCTAATATCCGCTCTCGCTGGTTGTGGCGTCCGGTTAGGTCACAAAAAAACTGACTCTAGTGGCGGCGGCGGCGGCGATGGACTGCGGAGGGGCTGGTGTCGGCGGCGTGGGAGGCGAGTTGGGAGGGCGGCGCGGAGGGCGGCGGCGGCCAGGGCGGCGGAGGGGCGGGTGGCGGCGGCGTGGGAGGCGGCGGCGAGGGCGACAGCGAGGGCGGCGGCGGCGGCGAGGGCGGCGGAGGGGCGGGTGGCGGCGGCGTGGGAGGCGGTTGGGAGGGCGGCGCGGAGGGCGGCGGCGGCGAGGGCAGTGGAGGGGCGGGTGGCGGCGGCGAGGGCGGCGGCGGCGAGGGCGAGAGCGAGGGCGGCGAGTCCGATGGGAGAGAGGAGGGTACCGATGGTGGTGAGTCGTTTCCCTTCAGTGTTTGAGTGCTGGACGCAGGAGGGTCAGTGCTGGACGAGGGTGGGTCACCCCGAGTCGTGACGGCGATGGTGACGGCGACGGCGAGGGCGACGCAGCAGATGCCCAGGCACAGGAGCGTCGAGGGCCTCCTCCAACGCGTTGGGACATATGACCTGTCGTTGGGGAGGGTAGCGCGGCTAGCCCAATCTGCGGCTAAGACCGGAGAACCACGCATATCGTACGAGTCAGCGGGTACGAGTAGTCGTCGCGGACTTTTCCGAGCACGGTGGTGGTGTATCGACCGTGCCTCAGAAAAAGAATTCTTAAGATACAAGCCTCTCTCACAGCACACTGGCACGACAAGGGCGCAGACTGGCGCGGACTGGCACACACACAGGCTCACCAGAAAAAGAATTCACGCGCCGGACTGGTACCAAAAGAGAAAAATAATTTCGGAAATGTTTTCATCTCTATCCACAAGTCCAGAAGGACTAGGCGAAACAGCGGCCACAAGCGTACGACTGTCGTTGCACTAATGTCGTAATTTGGGGCCTGTTCTGATGTCTAACGCAATTTCACTTTTATTTACTTCCCTTACGATCAGCTGACAGCTCCACCAGCTCCAACCACCGCGTGTCGTGTCATGAAGCATGATAGATAGACTAGAAAGCATGAACCATCGAAAGGTCTGATCTCCAAAAAGAGCTCTCGGCCTGCCGCGCGCGCCCGCGCCCCGCCCCTTTTGCGCAGCAACACCTTAAACTTCATGGCCCTCCAAATTCGAGTCGGAGCGACGGAGCGTAGCGGAGTGGGACCCGAGTTTGATTGAAAAAGGCGACGGACGCTTGCGTCCTAGCGAACCTAGCCTCCAACAACGCCTCCCCGGCGCAGAGGGGCCCCCGGAGGGATGCTCAACCGCCCCACGCCACGCCGCTCGCACGATCTACCACGCGATGAACTCATACTTGGAGCTCGAGCTCGTCCGTTGCGGCGCTTGCCCGAGCGGGCCCCTCTTCTGATGTGTGATGAGCTGCGAGGGCCGCAGAAGCCGTCAGCGCAGCAAGCCACTCGCTCGGTAGGACGAGGTCTTAAAAGAATCCGGCCCTCAGAACCCTAGGGGTCCCCTAAGGATCGACGGTCGTGCGACGGTGCGTCGGCGGCACGTTGAGGCCGATGCTGCTGTCGGCGATCGAAGAAGCGTAGGGAGTGCCAGCGGCCGATGCAGAGCACGTCGAGAGGGTCGACTCAGTCTCGTAGAAGAGCGAGAGCGAGTCGAAGGCGAGGTTTGCGAAATCAACATTTTCCTCGTAGAGCACGGTGACGTGCGGAGAAGCGTAAGACTCGGCACTTGCGGGCTCAGTGAGCCCGGATTTCGCGTGAGGAGAAGCCATGATCGATGCCATCGGCAGGGAGGACGCGTGCGTGAAGCAAAGGAGCGCGGCGAACGCCAGCATCGAGGGGATTGAGAGCGGGATGTAGTGAAGCGACATAAAATATACACCTCCACATATACACACGAACAGAGAAGAATTTCACAGAAAGAAAAGGCCGCACTCACTCACCTTCCGCAGCGCTGCAGCGCTCCATTTTCCAAGTCGCAAGTGCTCCACCCCTCGTGCTCCACCCCTCCACGAGAAAGCTCGCAGCTGGAGCGCTGCCGGCACGAGCCCACGACGCACGAGCGCGGGGTGCCGCGGCGCCATTTTTCCCACATGGTCACGCCACAATGGCGCGACGAAGACACGAAGTACAGAAACGGACGAGACACTAAAGCTCGAGATGGGAGACCGCTCTATGGAGGCGCTACACCGCCCTCTCTCTCCCGCCCCACTGCTCCCCCCGACAGTACTAGCTTACGAACCGCTACGGTAGTACAAAGACGGCACATGGCTGCGAGCATGGATCATGGGGGTCGAACCCCTTTCTCCCCACGGCGCACGGCCCGGGTGGGACAGCAGATGGCGCAGCAGGTGGCGCGGGGACGGGGCGCCGCGAGGATGTGACGGGGTCTGCGCCGTCGTCTTGCGCCTCGCCTCGCGCAGAGCTCCGCGCAACTCAGTGGTTGACGGGGTACGGCCCCGCGCCGCCCGTCTGGCCGATCTCGCGCAGCATCTGCTGGAACCACTCGCGCTCCGTGTTGAAGTGTTTTCCGCCGGCGATGCGAGGGAACCTGCGCGGCGCGGGGGTGCGGGCTCAGCCCCCGCTCCTCTCCCGCCTCGCCACCCCGCGGGAGGTCGAGGGGGGAGGGGCGGCCGCACTCGATGCAGCGCAGCACGTCGCCCG